TGGCTTCTACTGGTCATTATCAACCCTGTTTGGTCCATTTTATGTTAGATATTCTTTTTTAAAATAAGTCATTCTCACTCAAAGTTTGGCCAGAGACCCAAAACATGAGTTGCAGGACACATATGAGAGACTTTATTGGCTTCTGCTGGTCATTATCAACCCTGTTTGATCTATTTTATGTTAGATATTCATTTAAAAAAAAGTAATTCTCGCTCAAAATTTGGCCAGAGACCCAAAACATGAGTTGCAGGACACGTATGAGAGACTTTAAAGAATAATTAAATCATTTTTAAATTGATTTAACCCTCTATTTGCCATTTTAGGGCCTTAAAACGTCCTAAAAGAAAACTAATAACTGCTTAAACTTAGATATTCCAAGCATAAAATAGGTTTAACTGCAAATTATGGCTGTAGTTTGGTTAGATTATCTGGCAAATATTGATTTTCAATTATTTTTGTCTGAAAATGGACATCAAAACATGCAAAACAAAACAGGATGCAACTAAGAGGCTTTTTTATCATTAGATCTTATTCAATCTCTATAATTCTAGGAAACAGATAAGAAGCTTTAAACATTTCAAAAAGCTTTAAACATAAGTTTAATTTAAGCTATTCATCCTGGGGCCGACCTAAGCCTTCCTCTGCTGCAGTGCATTGTGGGAAAAGGGGGGCAATGGGGGGCTATCATAATGCACATTCCGCTCTTTTTGTTATTTTTCTTGTTTATAAAACACATAGCAGATCCCTGAGAGCATTTATGTGCCGTTTATGTATGTTTATGTTACCGAGTGTGGTCTTTTTTTTTTAAGTAGTTGTCATAAAATGTTTAGTTTTATTTCGTGTGAGCTTTCACACGCGATGGATCCATTTATCCGGACATTTGTTTATCTCGGAAAATAGCGAATCGGGCTTTTTAAGGACATCTTACACAGTTTAGACACAGAGTTGGATTTTCTCCCAGATGTGGAGGCCTTAAAAGATCAGTTTGATCAATTAACAAAATCCAACAAAGCAGGACAAAGGAAACTTAGATCCGGTCAGTATTTGATGGGGATTGTTTTCCTTTGGGCTTTTTTAAAAAAGGGTTTGGGCATCTCATTCGTTAGAACACAAACAGGCTCTTTTTTTGGCACTTGTGGAGTTTAATTCTACATTTTAGGTTCTGAAAACCATCCTATTTAAT